AAATGTTTAAGGTTCTTTATTCGTAGGTACTGCAGTAATGCCCACATGTATAAACCCTATACATATTAGATATTCATGATAAAAAAAATCCATATACATGATTCCATAGATAATTAAAATCCATATATATGAGTAAAAACTAAATCTGTCATTAGCAAACAATATAAAATACATCAGAGAACATACATCAGTTATAATGAATGTTAATGAAAGAAAAATGTTCGATTCTATGTGATGCTGTTTGAGCGGCCGTAGGAGGTATGTTATCTGAAAGCACTAAACATATTATGGATTCTATATGCGTATGAGGCAATACACATTATTGGGTCAAATTATGTAATTGGATGTGCTTTTATTAAGTTTGTAATGTATTATCAATAAATAGAGTGATTTAATAAAAATGTATCGGTGTACAGCTGTGTTTTGGCACCCTTTTTAAAGCCTACACAAATTGTTTTTACACTGAATTCACTGAAATTAGGAAATGCATGGATGCGTTCTTTATTCATGAAAAACGCACTAGCATACTCCTGGACACCCACAAGAAATATCTTGCGGTGTGGATACAATACATTCATCCTTCAGTCCCACCTGCAAGCTTTACCTCCTTATAGGTTTTACACTTTGGAAGGGACCATACAGGGAGCTCTGGTGTCCTTTTTTTTTTTTTTCCCCCTTGTCCCCCCTTTTTTTTCCCCCCCTCTTCTCTTTATCGGCTCTCCACTTTATAATGCCTCTTTTACTTTGCCTTCTTCTTTACATAGATTCTATTAGGGATTGGGCTACTCTCCTCTTTTACTGTTCATGCTTTGATCAACACTCCATTTCTTAAAGCATATCCATCAAATTAAACAGCAGACTGGACTTTGGCAGTCTGGGTCGGGGGAGCTCTACTCCACAGCGCAGTTTCCACTAACACCCTATGATACTGTTTCAGCTCAACCAGTTTGCATGTCCATTTCATGGGTTAGCAAGGCTTCTATTTCCACTGGCATTATAACCATGGATGTGGTCCAGTAACTGACATTGTATGACAGCTTAATGTTGTACCTGCAAGTATATGGACATCTGTAACTTTGTTAAAGTTACTGTTAAAATATTTTTACAAAATCTTTTTGAAACAAATGGACTAAAATAATTGATATTAAGACATTAAATGATGATTAAATGACACTGTTTTTGTCTTCCTTTCAGCCCTACTAAGTCAGAGTTTATACGTGCCAAGTATCAAATGCTTGCGTTTGTGCACAAGCTACCTTGCCGCGATGATGATGGAGTGACTGCCAAAGACCTTAGCAAGGTAATATCTAATCAAAGGGAAATCATCAGCCAAACATTAAAATGTTGTATCACTAGGAATCAATATAAGTTGACTTTTAGATTTATTCATATTAAAAGTGTGTTTTATTGGCAAGGAGGGTTTTGTATTGCAGGGCTCTGTGGGGGAACATAAAGAAATGAAAATCCTAACATAACATTTGAGAAACACAATATAATGATGTTGGAAAAACCGATATACCTTTTGTTTCACCTTATGTTTTCCTTGTGCCAATTTGATTAAACTGTGAGAATGTCATTGTTGCAAAGGTTACCAATGTAAGAACTGAAGTTAAAGAAGAACTTCAGAATTTTTTTTTTAATTAACCCTTGCAGTGTGTCTGGCCCCACACTGCAAAGGTTGAAGGAGAACTATGGGGGCTTTTCCCCATAGTTCTCCTAAGGGTCACGGGAGGACACAAACTAGCGTCCTCCCGTTACCCTAAACTCAGTATACCGCGAGCTACAGCTTGCGATATACTGAGACGCCGCAGCTGAAACGGATCCCGACAATTATGTCTGGATCCGCCCAGCTGCGTGACTGACAGCTGGCTCTGCCTATCTAGAGGCACAGCGAGCTGTACCCGCCCCCTCCCCCGTCCGTCCTGCCAGTCAGCGCTGGAGGATCGGGGAGGGGCGAATCCGGTCCCTCCCCTGTCACTGCTCTCTGCCGTGACAGGATTGAGAAGCGGGCGAACGCTGGTATGTGTTCGCTCACTTCCCGATCTACTGAGCCGACCTGTGACAGTCTCATTGACATAGGTCGGCTAGAACTATGAGGATGAGTGAAAAGCACTCACCTCATAGTTCTCCTTTTAAGTGCTCGTTTGTGTCTAAGTAAAAAAAAAAAGTTATACCGATGCTCTGAGCCGCCTTCTTCATAGATAGGTTCTTCCAGAGTCTCTCCCCACCGCAGTGGTCTAAAGGTGGCCATACACCTTGCGATTATCGGACGCAAATTTCTGTCCGATGATCGAACCGTCGTACGATTGTCGTACGGCGGCCCCATCCTGCCCAGATTATCGCAAGGTTTAATTAGCCGTAATTAAAGAAAAGCACCTGGACGAATTGCGGTAATCAAACCCATGTATTTTAGTTTGTGCATGAGCAGTGTAGATCGTACAATTTTTGACGTACGGAAACGCCACTAAACTTGCAATAATCGTACGATCGACCAAAGTTTTCAAATGTGCTTGAAAGTCAAAAGTAGTACGGTTGTACAGTATTTGCGGTTGTACACTGCCCATGAACCTTGCAATTATCAGACGGAAACGCGATCGCATACGATTATCGGACGATGTATCGTAAGGTGTATGGGCACCAAAAGGTCCCGTAAGTCAGGGGCGTATTTACCGCGAGGCAAACTAGGCGTTTGCCTCGGGCAACAGATAAGTCCTCAACGTCTATAACTTTCAGGTGAGTATAACTTTGTTATTTTTCTCTCTAGATACAAACAAGCACTTTATTAACCCACTGCAAGGGTTAATAAAAAGTGGAGTACCTGGAGTTTTTCTCTAATCTAGCTTCAGCCATGTATTGTAAAGGTGCCCATACACCTTGCGATTATCGTAAGATAATCGCGGGGAAATCCCGTGATCGTACGATAATCACAAGGTGTATGGAAGGCGTGCGACCGCTTTTACTGTACGGTGGAACGTCTTTTGTTGAACCAGCATGCTTGAAAACTCGCCGAGAATCGTACGTGTTTCTAGCCTGCTCGTTCGACAACTGCGGAACGGGCCGGTGTGCACACGTGCACACTGCCTGTTCAGCATTGCGGTCATCGAAAGCCACGCCCATCAGCGGGACGGGCTTTTGATGATTGCGTGTACGATCTGCCTGTCCAAGATGGGCTTACGACCATCGCAAGACAAAAGTCTTGTGATGGATGTAAGGTGTATGGGCACCTTTAGAGTTACCCAGAGATACTGACACCTGCAAATAGAAGTGTCTGTGTAAATAAGAATCGCTTCCTATAATTGCCCCCATCTCTATGAATAAGCTTGAGATGGTGAACTGCAGGAGAGGTGGACAGTCTAAGGCTGGGACGACAGTGTGGCTGTGATCAAAGAATAAAGGTTTTTGTTAGGGGAAGACCTACAGAGTGCGGTTGAGTTGTTTGACTAGCATTCTAATTGAATATGAAGAAGGCAATACGATTACGCAGCCAGGTTTTCCATTAATACACTAATAGTGTGCAGTTATGGTATCCTGCTGTTTTTTTAAAGAGACTTGACATATTTGTATGGAAGGCTGTGTGTTAGTACAGGGAACAGACATTAACACTTCCAAAAGACATTAAAACCTATATATTTGAAGAATCGGCTGCATTGTCTGCCTCTCCTTTATTTGATTTATATTCTTTGCCACAAAAGGATAGGTGGACTTTATAGTGACGACTTTCCCTAAACTAGTGTTGATATATGTATCTATCTTAGGTTTGAGAGATGCTGATTTGGTGGCAGCAATAAAAAAAATTTAAAAACGCAAATCATTTTCCAAGAAGTCATTAGACATTTTCAGTTTTAAATTCACCGTTTTTCCATTGTTCCTCCTGTTGCCTATTTGTATAAATGTCTTTTTTTTTCTGCCTTTCCCTTGTTTGTTGTTTCATTCTGATCCCTCCCAATTTTTTTGATTGTTGGCTGCCTGGGGTATATACATATAATGTATATACGTCTGTCCAACTGGTCCAAATGTCTTCTGACACCACAGGGAACTGTATAGCCTTAGAATACCACTAACGAGATCGCACGCAATGGCCACAATAAGGCACACCGAGACACTAAAAGACAGTGGCACCAGTACATTCAGAAACAGTGACTAGATTAGTGCAAAAGGTTACCCTGCTCTGCCTTAGGTCAGTTGTGCCTGGACACTATTTCTCCACTTAAAATGACACTAAACTCAGGCATTAAATCTTAAAAATATATTCAAGTACTTTAACTATTAACAAAAATGTATCTTATCTGTGTATCACTCGGCTGTAGGTCCTCAAATCCTCTCTGAATTGGTGCTGACACTGTCCTTACTTTTGGAGGGTGGCTACTTTTACTTTCAATAGTTCTTTATTGAAGTCAAGTGAAGCATACATAACAAAATGCATATAACATAACCAACTTAACATCCAGGATACAGTATGCTTTGCAATATAATTTCCATTTATAGGGAGGTTAGGAGGAAGGGAGGATGACAAAACAAGTGGGAAGAGAGGAGGGGAGGAAGGAGGGAAGACAAGGTGTGGACCAGTTATGCGTCGGGCAATATTAGAGATCAAACAATGCAGTATGGATGTACAATCCATTTTCTCCAAGCTGAAAGGAATATAGGATATGAGTTATTTTTCATGGCAAACATCTTTTCATAGGAATATTGGGTGTTAACTAATGAAATCAGGTCAATGATGTTAGGAGGAGTTGTTTGTAACCATCTACGGGTAATCAACAATTTAGCTGCATAGAGAATATGCACAACAATAGTGCGAGTTGCCGGTGGCAAGATATCAATATTAATATGCAGTAGGGCGAGTTCTGGGGATGGAGAGAGAGGTGAGGGGGAAAAATGAGAGATAATACGGAAGACTCCATTCCAGAACACACGGAGGGACCTGCAGTGCCAAGAGATGTGAGAAATTGAACCAATGCAGCCGCACAGTCTCCAGCAAAGTGGTGAATTTGAGGCAGAGAATTTGGATAATTTGTAAGGGGTATGATACCACCTATGGATAATTTTTTGGAAAAGTTCACAATTGTTAGAGCAGCGGGATGCCCTGTGCGATGCTTGAAGTGCCAGTTTCCATTGGGTATCTGAGAAGGAGGTACCAAGTTCCTGTTCCCATTTGATCATGGGAGGGGTTTTATGAAAATGATTATAGAGACCTGAGAGGGCATAGAATGTAGAGATACCTCCTTTTGATAGGGGTGAAGCTAAATAAGAATTTATGGAGGTTGGCATCAATTGGTATAGTTAGTGGTATTGAACGCAAAGTCAGGAGATGTGAAGGGTGGCTACTTTTGTTCCCCATGGTCAGTGTGTGTTGTAAAGTAGCCACTTCTCCAAGCTCACACCTGTGATGTACTACAATCTCACGTTTAGTTTACTAATTTGTATTGAAATTATAGTCTATGACGGGATTGAGCTTGGAGCGGTGGCTACTACCTAGAGAGAGTTCCACAGATGGTACAGACTTCTGGAGGAGCCTTGCTTGCATTTTGCGACCTTTGATGGGCAGTGTGGCCGCCTTGTCATCCGCATCCATCTTGTCTGTGGGAGCGGCTGTTGAGGGACAGACTGCTTCCAGAAGGACTTTATTGGTGCATCAGCACGGTGAGATGCCTATTGGCCACCACTGTGTGTTTGTTGGCTGCTGTTTACTAAGCCTGTTCTGCCAAGAGCAGAGTTCTGCCAAAGGGGACCACTGCATTTTATTTTCTTTCAGTGGATTACAAAAGCTGGAGATTTAAAGGGCCCCAATGCTGGCAGACTGTAGCTGGTACTCCCACTGGCCAGTCGTCAGGTAGAACTGATAGTAGTAGCTAGACAATTCTCCTATAGTGTCAATTGCCTACTGTGCTGTTACCATTTCTGTGTTAAAATTGCTTGTGTCAATATTGAAGGTTGTTCTAAAGCTTTCTGTTTTGCAATTTTGTTGCATTTTCCCAACCCAAACTTCCCTTACAGGGCTTATTCTCATTTAAACACAGCCCATTCGTCTATTACTGGTGTGTTGGTGATTGTCTGGTCCGGGAACAGGGCAGGTCATCACTGGGAGTGGCAGGAGGACCCAAAGAAATCTTGCGAAATAAGTAGCGCTACACATTTTAAAAGGTTTTAGTATTATACTGTTCTTCTCATTTTCACTTTTACCCAAGTTCAGACAATCGTAATTGCACATAATGTGTGAAGACCTAATTAAACAATCTCATCCTGTTTATCTTTATTATAGTCTAATAGGCCTTCTCATGCAGATGCCTTTGCTCATGT